CTTTAGATTTCTCACATCATTGTTTATTTTCCTCAACAGCTTCTCATATTTCGTAGCAAGTTTTGTAAAAGTGCTATGTGTGTCATTTCTATTTTTGCAAAATAAAAATTGGACCATTTGCCTCAATGATTTTAGAAGTGCTTCAATGGGGTAATTTTTTGCCACCTTCGTGAATGCATTAACAAATTTTACTATGTTTGATGTCATAGTAGAGTATCTATTGGTTGGCAAGTGCAATTTTGAACATTTTTCATATCCAACATCCAACTATAAAATAATTTTAGTTATTAGATAATATATTCAAGTATAAGTAACAACATGTCACATATGGTCACAGTTAACTCTAAAAAGTTCATATATAATCAGTATTATTACACAATAGGCCACAGATTGTTTTATTCATAAAATTATATCATGTTTCAATCGTAAATGAAGTCACATGCTAAATATCCACTGATATATTTCATTTATAATCGTGTTTCAATTTTATGTAATAATAAATGAAATATAATTCATACATTAAACATGCATGATCACAGATATTCATAAAATTTTTATAATATCATAGAACAAGTAACAGGAAGTCATAATATTTGTTTCAGACAATCACACACAAAATATCCCTTGATCTCTTCATTTATTGAGTACAATTGCTGTATTTAGTATCCAAATTCATTCGCTGTATAAGCTCTTACAGCGGAATTGAATGCATGTGTGACATTGTGACCTGATTTTGTATAATAAGTCTTCAAATTTTTTAGCAAATGATACGAACAGATCCCATGCATTGTCTCTGGATATACAAAATTCAATGACATTTCTTATGCAATTGCGACTATTGGATACTATACATAATCCATCTCTAGATCCATATGTCCTCTTCAACATCTCAAGAGACCATTCTCATGACTTATCATTTTTATTACCCCAATCTCAAAAGCTAGTATAAAGATATTTTTATTTGCATTTTGTGTACAAATCATGAAGAGTGTATCCCCATAGTGGCCATTTAAATATGTACAATCAACTACAGTGATCGGCCTACAATATTTTCAACCAGCAATCGATGCACCCAATGCCATAAAGTAACATTTAAATCTATCCAAATGATTTGTTTCTATTCTTGTGATTGTCCCTATGTTCATTCATTGTAACATAAAAAAATAAGAAGGCAGTAATTGAAACAATGTTGTTCGATCACCTCTAATCAATTTTAATGTATGTTCACGTGACCTCCATGCCTTCATGTAATTCACCGATATGCCATATTTGTGTAACATGTCATTTGAGATATCATTAGGAGTGTATATTGTACGTGAAGAAGTGTATTTGTACTTGATGCAATTTGACACCATTGAGCTAGATGCTTATCAACAGATCCAAAATAAAGTTTATCGAGCATGTATGCCCATTACAAATTTTCTTGATCTTAAGTATTTCCGTTTCTTCCAAGCATAAAGATTTAAATATCCACTTGCAATCGTCATGTGAGCACTTCATTACGTACTCCTTTTTGTCCAATCTCGACACTTTATATTCAAATTTGTTTTGTAGGGCATAGAGGGCCAAACTCATTTTCAGTATTTCCTTGTTATAAAAAATATTTCCCTCCACTACTTCTATAGCATCTGCTTGAGATACCAATGTCACATCTTCTTCAATGTTTCATTTCTCGACGGTAATAACCAAGTCACAAATGTCCTGATCTATTTGTTGTAAAGAAAACACATTAGTTGATGACTCAACAGTAATAGTCGACGACTCTGAGCATTGCAATGCACATGTTGACTGCCATGAATTTGCAGTGATAACATCAATTGTAATATGAAAATTTGATACAATGTCATACAAAGATTTTAGCTTGAAATATGTCAAGACATTATTATTGCTTAGTATCCGGAATGAAGGTAAACTATGATCCAAAGAATATGTTAATCTCACAAGGTCAAACAATTCATCATACTTGCACGTATCATTCACTAGTATAATTGACGTGTGACCTCGGTATAACAGGCAACTATGAAAAATTACCATCCTTGATCACACACAGATAATAGCATGTCACACTTCATTCACTAAAATCAGGAAACATTCAGATGCAACGACATTAATCAATATAGGCCACAGATCAAGAAGTCATAGATAAGTCAATACAGACCACAGAAGTTATTTAATGTAAATATATTCATATACAGTCAACAAGTATATCATAGAGAGTCAATTTTAAATGCACTAAAATTGATCACAAAATAAACTAATTTTACTTATGGACTATCAAGACATTTGACATATAGGTCACAATCTATTTGATTTAACAGTCACGGTTAATAGAAACATGTATCAATGTGATTGAATCACATAAACAGTCACAGATCACCGTGTTCATAATTATAAAATGAAGATAAAAATTACATACTACCAATGGTTAATGAGAAAACACACGTCACACACTAGGCAAAATATAACTTATTTTTAATAGTGAGAACTCTCTGATCGTGTTTGGTTAAATGTTTCATTAGATTCGAAAACATCAATTTTTTCAAAATCATTAGCTCGTAATAAGTAATTATAAGCTTACATTCAAAATCAGATCACAGAACTTCAATTTCTGCTTCGGATAAATCCCTCCATATTCGAGCTTCAACTTTCTCCAAAACAATGCAAATCAAAAGTATGTAGACAAGATTGTGACGTTATTGATTGATTATAGATTGAAATTGAGGAATGACGGTAAAATTGTCGTGATTTTTGAGAGTTTTTGATGAACTCGTTGTGTGGAGAGAGAGTTTTTGGGGAACTCGTTGTGTAAAGAGAAAATCGTGTTTGATTATGTGTGGAAAGTGATAAATATCTTTAAATATGGTTTATTAACTAATTTGTAGGAGATCGGTATTTTTATCCAAATTATATAATAATATATTTAATATTTTTAATTTATCACCTGATTTATGAAAGTTTTAAGAGAGTTTATCAATTATATAATATGTTTTTATAATGTAGTAGTTATGTGGTTTCGTTATATTTTATTAATCATTTGATTACCTAAAACTAAATGGATCAAAAGGTAGAAGGCTCATTAACTTTTCAAACCTAGAAAGCCAAGAAGTCAGAAGTAGAGGCGTGCAATGTTCTTTTTCTTCTTTCTCTGTTTTCCAGCCACTGCTTCTTCTTCTCATTTTTCCGGCTGCAGCTTCTTTTCATTTTTACGACGACTTCTTCTACATATACATGTGCATATGAATTGATGGATGGTCTTTCACGTAATTTGGGCAAGTTAGGGAAGTTCATTTGCAGGTATTTTATATATGCTTCTTTCTTCTTTTTTTGATAAAGTATTTGAAAACTCGTTTAAAATTGTGTTTGGTTCACCATTTTTCGATCGGACCGGATATTTTACCTCATTTTTACCTACTTTTGTACGATCAAATATTAGAAAATAGCAGAACCGATTGCTCGACCGATTTACAGGATTTTCAGTCGAATCGATCGGTCCGTTCCGATTTTAAAAACATTGAAAAGTTATTTGTCTAACTAAAAGAATTTTTAAAAGAAACTTACGTAAGGTAGCTTTATAAGAAGCTTTTTTACAAAAAGTAAAAGTTTTATCAAACAAGGCCTAAGTAGTTTTATCAAACAAGGCCTAAGTAGATTAAACATACTTTTTATCTACTCTTTTATAGAATCAGCACCATAACATTCAATTAAGATACCATTACTTACATCCACAATTTTTTATATGCATCCCATTCTATATATGTATCCCTATTAAAATATTAAAATTTTAAAAAGTTAAAATTTTTATCCACGTCAAATTCCAATATTGTCCTCATTAAATTCATTCATTTAACATTATAGATCCATGCAATTTTTATACATTCATCCCACTATAAATACATTCTTAATGCAATTTCAAAAATCACTATATTCATCCAATCACTATCAATATTTAATCTAGTTCTTACCTTTTATTTTCTATATTGTCGTGTCGGTGCTTTAATATTTAGTTATAAAATAGTGGCAAATCTCTTTTATGAATTTATAGGATTCTCTCAAGAGTATTGCGCAACCAAATAAATTCCTCATTGAATCATATATTAATTGATTTTTCCTTATAAACTCATAATTTTGGTTGTTTATATTTCGGTTGATAATTTTAAGTTTGTTTCCTTTCATAATGTAAAAATATTTGGATAGATATTAAAACTTATTTTGAAATTTCTCGTATATTTTCATCTATCAAATCAATACTTATAAAAAAAGCATAAAAAATAATATTCCAATTTTTCTATCATGAAAGAATTATAACTCTAATAATGTGTTGATTTTTTTTATTTAAAATTTCCATTGAAAAGGATATTTTATGATTTTAATTAAAAATGATATTTTATATATGATTATTAGAATTTTAGTTAAGTACAAACTCTAAAAGAATATAAAAAGGTTTAAACGAATTTATGAAATTAAACATTAGTGGATGAATTTAGAGCAATATATTTTTATTTAATTTTATATATGTCTGTTTAGGTAAATTTATATAAATAAAAAATATAATATAATTATTTTTTTAAAAGTGGATGTACATATAACAGTACATTTCATTTATTATCTACACATACACAGTTTATAAACTCTTAAAAACACTATCAAACAAGCACTTAGGGCTTGTTTGTTTCACATTTTTTCCATTTTTAGAGATTATTTGCTCGTTGTACAGAGCCGTCCAATTTCAATTGATTGCAGTTTCTGACGATAGAGGACGGTTGCATGTGAATTTTGAAGAATCTACTTTAAGTTTTTTCTCTTTTTATCTCCATGCCTCCAACTACCCATTTTTGGAGTTGATTGAAGGTAGTTGGAGTGTAAAGGGGTAAAATCGTCAAGTGGTAAATAAAAAGATTCTCATTGTACAAGCACACATCTTCTATGTATCAAAGGGAAGTGAAATTCGAAGGCCCATTTACTGTGTAACGGTAAGATAATATTTAAAAATGAATGGGAAGTGACTATCAAACACAGGCTTATTGAATTTGGGCCATAAAAAGCACATGAAAAGCAAGATAAAGAATGGTTTAGGATGAAATGTAAAGTAAACTAAAATACAATCTGGTATCTGTACTCTGTACTATAATAATCTGATATTTCTATCAACAAATAAAATACATGAAAGAGATTTACAAACTAAACAACAAGAATATGCCAATAACCAATGGCATCACAAATCCCCACAATGAACAATGAACATAATGGGTCCCACTCCAATCAGTCCCCTCTCTCGGAATCAAACTCGGTTCAGATCCGTTATAATTCGGGTTAGACCCGTATAACTCCTGAACCCCCGTGATGTCATCGTTTGCAAGTTCGACTTTCCGGGTACCCGAAGATATAGTTGGGTACATAATAGATTCCTCAACCGAACTATGACCCAACCCGAGCAAATGCCCGATTTCATGAACCACAACAGACTCCAGATCCACAGCCGAAACGGGTGACCCGCTATTAAAATTGCCGTCAGTCACCCAATTTTCATCACCGTCCAAGTGGAACCTCCCAACTGGCGGCGAAAAAGCGTGCGCTAACGTCCCCAAAACGCCGTCAAACGGCTCGCCGTCGCCGTGATCTCCGCTGAAGAACCCAATCTGAAGATCCGCACTGTTAAACGACGTCGTCTCTGTGAAAGTTAACGGCGTTACTTCCGACCAACGTTCAAAAGCGCGTGCGAATAGAATTTTAACATTATCCGACAGCTGATTCCTCGGCAAGAACGCGTATGTTAACTCAGTCTTACTCTCCGGCCACCTGGGCCTACCCGGGAAAAACGTATAATGGGCCACTGTATGAATGGTGGAATTTGCACTGTAAGGTCTAGGTTGCTTACCGGAATTCATAGTCGAAGTGCCATTGATTACATCGGCGTTTCCGCATCGAGGTCGTACAATGTGCTTTAACGTTTGTTCATCAAGTTCACCGGTGGCATTCAGATTGAAATTCAGCTGGTAAATTTTGACGGCCGATTCAAGATATTCATCAAAATCATCCGAAAAATCAGAATAAGAAGAATTCAGATAACCAAAATACTGTAAATACTTCTTGAATTTGGTTAACCCATCAACTTTCTTTTGACCATTACGGCAGCCCATAAGCTTATTAAAAGCCTCCCATGCTGTTGTATTCGGGATTAACGAAGGTGGGATTGAAGTGATATTCGGGAAAAAATGTGCAGAAGCCGAAGAAATGGAAAAGAGCAACAGAAAAGTTATGGGAATGAACAGCGTGAACTTCATTTTCGTTTGAGTGTCTGATAAATTGAAATTGAAATGAATGGAAAGTTTTTGATTTGAAGTTATAAGGGCGTATCTATGAATTGTTCAAAGGGTTGAGTTTTCGTGTGAAAAGATGAAGGCCCGGCATTATTGGTTCCCAAGGTTTGACTAGTGTTGGCGTGTGGGGGAGCTTGGTCAACACGAGTAGTCGCCTTAACAAATTTCTCAACTTCCTCTAATGTTCGTGGAGAGTTTAGTTTTTTTTTTTTTTTTTAAAGCCCAGTTGGGTTCTGATTTTTCAAATCTTTTTTTATTTTTTGATTATTACTTTACATAATTAATCGTCATTTTTTACCCTTCACTCACAGATATGACACATCTTTTAAGCTAACAGTCAAAAAATTAATTCTCATAGTCAGCAAAAAAAAAAAAGGCTCTTAGTTAATAATTTTTATAGTTTCGTTTACGAAGTTAAGCTATGATAATATTATCTATATAGCGTAACATATTGTGTACCGATTTTTAACAAAATCAAATGTGGGTTAAATTAGTCTTCAACTATATATATATTTATTAAATTTTTGCTTTATTTTCTTTGTTATTTTATGTGCTGGTGGTTCATGTCATATGGTGATATTTTAGCGTTGAAATTTCCGAACTATATATTTGATGGTGTGCGTGAATCATATGGTGGAAAAATCTATTTTTTTTTTTTTTTTTTATGAGAAGAAAGTCTACGACGTGAAGGGTTTGCTAATCTACTTTGTCATGAATTGGTCCTTCAGATTTACATGGCAGAATCATAGCCATACATGTGGATTTTTTAATAGTTAAATATTTAAACTTTTCTGCATTTCTTCTAGATTTCATTGTGATGTCAGTGCTAGCATAAGCACTTAGGTCAAATACGCTGTGTCTAGAAAATAAAAATTTTGGTATTTGTTATTTATAAATGCCTATTTTTAAGTGAATACGTATTCAAATATTCAAGTCATTAAAACTTTGAGCTAAATCTTTTGGTTCAACTATTTTTATTTAATTGTGTTCATCTTGTGGCTTGATCGAGACACGTAAACTCTTCTTTTTATTTTTTAATACGATTTTCCATTACTTAAATAACGTGGTGGTAATTATATATTTAATCAGAATTATATTAGTGCCTAAAGAAAAAAAATTACTTACATTATTCCTTAAATTCATTCATTAGAAGAAAGTTTAGAAATTAATCGACTTGTATGCTTTTATTAAGAACAAAAATCCTATATTTATAGAAAAGAATTAGGGATATAATAACAGTAAAAGTTAGGGCTATATGAGATGTAATTGTCATTTACTAATAAAATATTATTTACAACACTTTTTTTTGAATGACATAGTACAAAATATATGTCTCCTTAAAACTTTGTAGAGAAAATTCAATAGACAAAAATTTGAGTTAAGAAAAAAGTACAGTTGTTTCCTTGATTTCAATAAATAAAAATTCTTATATTGAGACATCCATATTTTGTACGTTAATTTTTTCGATATTGTAACTCTGATAAAGCAAGTTTCGTGTTGTCTCATAATGGCTTTCGAATAACACCATCTACACTCATGATATTCATCCACATTTGATGATTGTAAGAACGTGATGGTATGATATATAGTTCTTGTTGATCTCTTCGAGAGTCATATATTTGGGGTTCAAAAAATTCTTTCAATTTTTATTTCATTAAAGTCCATGCATTACATGAATGACCATACTTGGACTTGGAGGACTACTGTTGCGTGTTGGCATATTTGGCTAATCCACTTGGGCCAATGGCCCACTAAGGCAGTATTACGTGGCACTCCAGCCGAGGTGGCATATATTGCCGAGGTGGGCAGTGCCGAAGCCCTTCAAGCCGAAGTCCACTAGTCGAGGCGCCTTTTTACCGAGGCCTGTGAACGTACCCAAGGTCCACATGCCGAGGCCCAACGTCTCCAAGACATGAGACAAGCACATGGGGAGTCCCTAAAGAGCTTCTTATCATGCTTCACCGATGAGATGATATACTGCGTACAAGTCACTGATCGAGAGGCACTATCCGCATTGAGGGGAGGTCTAAACATGAATACCCTATTCTGGAGGGACGTGCAGAATCAAGACCCCACCACCTATAACGCCCTACTCGAAATGATGAGAAGGGAGATCATCAATGAAGAATTGATTGAGCATAGGAACAGGGCAAGTAGAGGCCTCCCACCTCTTCAAAGACAGCGCAGTAGAGGCCCGACCTCCCACCTGATGGGCTACCAAATGAACCAGGCTACAAATGAGAACTCTGGCCAAGCACTTGCCACCACCACTTTGAATGTGGTTCTTATCTTGGCATATGAAGGCTGGGAAGAAATTCCAGTGGACTGAAGAATGTAAAGAAGCCTTCCAATGCCTGAAAAGGCACCTGAAGCAGGCCCCCCTCCTCTCCAAATCGAAGCCCGATGATATCCTACAACTATATTTGACCGTCTCCAATGAGGCCATCAGCTCGGTTCTGATACGGGAAGAAGGGTCCACCCAACTCCCCGTATACTACACAAGTAAAACGCTCCTATCGCCAGAAACCTGTTACCCCCATATGGAGAAGCTCATTTTGGCCTTGATCACGGCCTCTAGGAAATTGAGACCCTACTTCCAAGCTCACACCATCCATATCCTGACGAACTTTCCCCTGAGGCAGGTACTCCAAAAGCCCGATGCCTTAGGAAGATTATTGAAATGGGCAGAGTGGAACTAAGTGAATTTGACCTTGTGTTCAAGGCTAGGGCAGCCATCAAAGGGCAAGCCTTGGCTGAATTCGCCAACCTACCCGAGGTGGATGAAATCATGGAACCCGTCGAGCCCCCCACGTGGAACCTCTTCGTCGATGGGTCAGCTGGGAATGTTGGCTCAGGTGCCAGGGTTGTCCTCATCAGCCCCGAAGGTCACAAACTCACCTCGGCGGTGAGGTTCGGATTCAAAGCTACCAATAATGCAGCAGAATATGAGGCACTTCTTACAGGCCTCAGGCTGGCCACAGAAATGCAAGTAAAGAGGCTACTCATCAGTAATGACTCCCAGCTGGTTGTTAGCCAAGTCAATGGTAACTTCTCAGCCAAAGACAAAACGATGGCCTCCTATCTGAAAATGGTGATGAACCTCATCCCATCCTTCAAAAAGTTTAAGTTGATCCAGATCCCCCGCATCGAAAATGCGCATGCGGATGCACTCTCGAAGCTAGCTAGTAGTAAGGACTCAGAGTTACTCACAGTAGTACCTATTGAGCACCTCTTCTTGCCTTCGATCGAGGCCCCTATGGTAATGTGGGTCGCTGGAACTCCCACTTGGATGCAGCCAATCATAGCGTACCTCAAAGACCAGGTACTGCCCACTAACAAGAATGAGGCTTACAAGCTAAGGAGGAGGTCAGCCCACTTCCTCTTCGTTGATGGCATTCTCTACAAGAGGAGCTTCTCTTCTCCACTCTTACGGTGTGTCGGAGGAGAAGAGGCTACCTACATATTAAGAGAAGTCCACGAGGGCGTGTGCGGCAACCACTCCGGAGCTTTGTCTGTAGCACAAAAAATATTGAGGCAGGGGTACTACTGGCCTACCCTAAAGCAGGACGCCCTCTAGTTTGTATGAAAATGCGATAAATGCCAGCACTTCTCTCCTGTGCAAAGACAACCATCGCAGGATTTGACCGCCGTCTCCAGCCTTTGGCCTTTCTCAAAATGGGGTGTGGACCTCATAGGTCCCCTACCTAAAGGTAGAGGAGGTGCAAGTTTTGCAATTGCAGCCATTGATTACTTCACAAAGTGGGTCGAAGCTGAACTACTGGCAAAAATCACTGAAGCCAACACCTCCAAGTTCTTATGGAAAAATATTATTTGCCGGTTCGAAATTCCCTACTCAATTGTCTCAGACAATGGCAAACAGTTTGACAACAAGAAGGTTAGAGAATTATGGGAAGAGCTCGGCATAAAGAAGCATTTCTCCACACCTCACCACCCACAAGCAAATGGCCAAGTTGAGGCCGTGAACAAGACAATCAAGCACGTCCTGAAAAGGAAGCTTGATGTATCAAAAGGGGCCTGGGTTGATGAGCTGTCCCAAGTCTTTTGGGCGATCCGAACCACCACCAGGACCCCAACAGGGAAAACGCCCTTCCTCATGGCATATGGAACTGAGGCGATGAGCCCCGTGGAGGTCGGACTTCCATCTCCAAGACGTCTGCACTTCAGTGAGATAACCAACGATGAGCTTCGGAGGTGCGACCTCGACTTCATCGAAGAAAGAAGAGATGACTCCCAATTGAAGCTCGGCACATATCAGAGAAAGATGACAAGGTACTTCAACTCGAAAATTAAGAAGAGGTCATTCCGAATCAACGACCTTGTACTCAGGAGGGTCTTCCTGTCCTCAAAAGAACCTGGTTTCGGTTCCCTAGGCCTGAACTGGGAAGGTCCATACAAAATCAGAGAAGAGGTTCGACCTGGGAGTTAGCATATGCCTCCTTTTGGCCAGGCTGAACGTCAAGGGGAGAAACCTCAACATGGTTGCACCATCCACCATGTCTGGGATGCGTCGTCACCTCGGAGGAGAGGCTCGCGTCCCACCTCTGGGCCACCTCGCTTGAACTTCGAGGCGCTAGCACATGCCTTCCTTTGGCCAGGCTGAACGCCAAGGGGAGATGCCTCAACATGATGTACCATCCACCATGTCTGGGATGAGTCGTCACCTCAGAGGAGAGGCTCGCGTCCCGCCTCTGGGCCACCTCGCTTGAACTCCGAGGCGCTAACACATGCCTCCCTTTGGCCAGACTGAACGCCAAGGGGAGAAGCCTCAACATGGCTACACCATCCACCATGTCTGGGATGCGTCGTCACCTCGGAGGAGAGGCTCGCGTCCCACCTCTGGACCACCTCGCTTGAACTCCGAGGCACTAGCACTTGCCTCCCTTTGGCCAGGCTGAATGCCAAGGGGAGAAGCCTCAACATGGCTGCACCATCCACCATGTCTGGGATGCGTCGTCACCTAGGAGGAGAGGCTCACGTCCCACCTCTGGGCCACCTCGCTTGAACTCCGAGACGCTAGCACATGCCTTCCTTTGGCCAGGCTGAACGCCAAGGGGAGAAGCCTCAACATGAATGCACTATCCACCATGTCTGGGATG